TAAATAAAACTGTTAAAAAAAAAAAAAAAAGAATTCATCAGAGAAGCTATCGGGTCCTGGACTTTTGTTTTTTGGGAGGTTTATGATTACTGTTTCAATCTCTTTACTTGTGATTGGTCTATTCAGATTCTCTATTTCTTCTTGATTCAGTTTTGGGAGGTTGTATGAGTCTAAGAATTTATCCATTTCTTCTGGTTTATCCAGTTTTTTGGTGCATAGCTTTTCATGGTATTCTCTTATAATCCTTTTTATTTCTGTGGTATATGCTGTAATTTCTCCTCTTTCATTTCTGATTTTATTTATTTGAGCCTTCTCTCCTTTTTTCTTAGTGAGTCTGTCTAAGGGTTTGTCAATTTTGTTTATCTTTTCAAATAACCAGCTCTTAGTTTCATTGATTTTTTTTTTCCTATTGTCTTTTTATTCTCTATTTCATTTATTTCCGCTCTGAATTTTATTATTTCCTTCCTTCTACTGACTTTGGCCTTTGTTTGTTCTTCTTTTTCTAGTTCTTTTAGGATTAGTGTTAGATTGTTTATTTGACATTTTTCTTGTTGCTTGAGGTAGGCCTGTATTGCTATTTAGTTCCCTCCTAGTACCACTTTTGCTGCATCCCTTAAGCCTTGGTTTGTTGTATTTTCACTTTCATTTGTCTCCAGGTGTTTGATTTCTCCTTTTATTTCTTCATTGATCCAATAGTTGTTCAGTACATGTGGTTTAGTCTCCACATATTTGTGGCTTTTCCAGCTTTCTTCTTGTAGTTGATTTCTAGTTTCATAGCAATTGTGGGCAGAAAAAAATGCTTGATATGATTTCAATCTTAAATTTATTGAGGCTTGTTTTGTTTCCCAACATATGGTCTGTCTTTGAGAATGTTCCATGTGCACTTGAGAAGAATGTGTATTCTGCTGCTTTGGGGTGGAATGTTCTATATATATCTATTAAAGTCCATCTGGTCTAGTGTTTCTTTGAAGGCCACTGTTTCCTTGTTGACTTTCTGTCTGGGTGATTTATCCATTGGTGTAAGTGGGGTGTTCATGTCCTCTACTATTATTGTGTTGCTGTCAGTTTCTCCCTTTAGGTCTGTTAATAGTTGCTTATATACTTTGGTGCTCCTATGTTAGGTGCATATATATTAATAAATGTTATGTCTTCTTGGTGGAATGTCCCTTTTATCATTATATAATGTCCATCTTTGTCTCTTGATATCTTTTTTGGCTCGAAGTCTATTTTGTCTGATATAAATATGGCTACACTTTTCTTTTGCTTGCCATTTGTTTGGAGTATCATTTTCCATCCCTTCTCTTTGAATCTCTGTTTGTCTTTAGAGCTGAGATGTGTCTCTTGGAGGCAGCATATTGTTAAGTCTGGTTTTTTAATCCATCCAACTACTCTGTGTTTTTTGATTGGTGAGTTCAATTCATTTACATTTACATTGATTATTGATATATGAGGACTTAATACTTCCATTTTATGTTTTGTTTTATGGTTGTTCTATATTCCCATTGTTTCATTTTCCTTTTATTTCTGAGTGCCGTTTCAGTTTGATGGTTTTCTGTGATGTATTTCCCAGTTTCCTCTTTTTTTTATGATTTGTGACTCTGCTCTGATTTTTTGTTTAATGGTTACCATGAGGTTTGTATAAAAGATCTCATAGATGAGATAGTCCTTTTTCTACTGATGGCATCTTATCTCGATTAGCCTAAGCAGGTTCCATCCTTTTCCTTCTATTATTTTGTTGTCACAAATTATCTTTTTTTGTGTTGTGAGTTTGTTACCAAATTGAAGTGGTTGTAGTTATATTTGATGCTTTCTTTCCCTTTTACCTTTATGTTATAATTAAGTTTACTAACCTCTTCTGTTAGAGAGGTGCAATTTTCTGATTCTCTCTGTTTATCTCCTTGCTCAAAGCTTTGTAAACCTTTGTTTTTTTGTTTCAGGTAGGTGGGCTCCTGTCAACGTTTCTTATAAGGCAGGTCTGGTGGCAATGAATTCCCTCTGCTTTTGTTTGTCTGGGAAAGCCTTTATTTCTCCTTCACATCTGAAGGATAATTTTGCTGGATAGAGTATTCTTGGCTGACAGTTTTTGTCTTTCAATGTTTTGAATATATCATTCCACTCTCTCCTAGCCTGTGGAGTTTCTGATGAGATACCTGCTCATAGCCTGATGGGGGTTTCTTTCTAAGTTATTTTCTCTGGCTGCGCTTAATATTCTGTCTTTGTCATTGACTAGGCAGTGTTAATAAAAAGTGCCTTGAAGAAGGTCTTTTTGTGTTGAGATAATTGAGTTCTTTTAGCTTTATGGACTTGTATATCCAGTTCCTCCCCCAGGTTTGAGAAGTTCTCAGCTATTATTTCTTTGAATAAGCTATCTGCTCCTTTCTCCTGCTCTTCTCCTTCTGAGATACCCATTATCCTTATGTTTCTTTTCCTACTTGAGTAGGATATTTCTCCATTTTTTTTTCTTTTTTTAAAAATCTTAGTTCTCTCTCCTCTACCACCTGAATCATTTTTAGATTTGTGTCTTTGAGCTTGCTAATTCTCTCTTCCATATGGTCTGCTCTATTTCCAATGCTTTCTACTTTATTTTTCATCTCATTAATTGTGTTCTTGATCTCCAGAATTTGTTTTTGTTTTTAGAGTTTCAATCTCTGGTGAAGCACTCCCTTCTGTTCATTAATTTTATTCCCGAGGTCATTGAACTGTCTCGCTGAGTTTTCTTGTAACTCACTGAGTTTCTTCATGTCAGCTATTTTGAATTCTCTGTCAGTTAGATCGCAATCTTCTGTGGCTTCAAGTTTGGTCTTGGGAGAGTGGTCATTTTTTTTGTGTTCTACCATGTTACTATAGTTCTTCGTGGTGTTTGATGAGTTGATCCTCTGCTGGTGCATTTGTGGTAGTAATCCCCTTTCTTATTTGGGTAAGGCTTTGTTTACTTTGATTCTGAGCTGCTTCTGGTAGTATTTGAGAGCCTGCACTTTCCACCCTCCACGGCCTCTGCCAGAGGCATCTCAGTGCCCTCTTGTGCTGCTTGTGCCTCCAAGGTTGCTGCTGCCTTGCTGCTTACGATGTCACTGCAGTCGTAGGTGTTGCCACCAGGGTCACCACATTGGGAGCACTTCTGCTGCTTCCGGGGTTGCCTCAGTCTCATGTTCTCCCACTGCTCTCTGTGGGCTCAGGTGCTGCTGCCACCTGCACCACCTTCACTGCTGCTCCCGGGTTATCTGAGGGGTGCTGGCAGTACTGCTGCCAGGGGTTCTGGGTTTATGGGTGTTGCTGCCACTGACAGGGTCCCAGGGTCTTCTATGCAGCTCCCACTGCTGGTAGGGCCGGTGTTGGGAGTGCCACCACTGGAGGCCGGGTTACAGGTACTGCTGTGGCTCCTGAAGCCTCAGGTCACAGGTGCCACCTACCACTGCTGGGGGAGGGGTGGGGGTTAAGCCACGAGTGTGGCTGCTCCTGCAGCGTCTGGTCTCCGGTACCAGTGTGCTTTTTGAAACCTCAGGTCAGGGTACCACCGCCAGGGGTATCTGCGTTTTGGATGCAGCCCTTGCTGCTGGGGAGGGCCGGTATTGGAGTCGCCACCACTGGGGGAGGGGACGGGGACTGCTCCCCTAGTTCCACTGCCTCCCAGAGGTTCAGTTCATCACCTTCAGATGTATAGATGTATGGATCTCTCAGGCATTCTGGTGTGCTGTGCAGAGAGTCCTTTGTTTGTCCTTCGATGTCCTACGGGTTGTAACTTAGAGGGGAGAGATAGAAGTCATTCTGCCATGATGCTGACATCACTCCTAATTTTGATTTTTATGTTTCTTTTTGATTTTTTCTCCCCTTACCCAATCTTGATTTCTAGGCAGGTCGATTTGGACAGTTAACTTACGTTCGCAATTATCAAGGAGAGTTGAAGAAGGGTGACACCATCTATAACACCAGGACAAGGAAGAAAGTGCGAGTGCAGCGGCTCGTTCGCATGCATGCTGACATGATGGAGGCAAGTATGGTCATTGCTGTGAGGTCAGAAATTTCTCTAATCCATGTGAAATAGATCTACCTTCTTGGTGTCCTGAACCCCATGAGAAAATCACTTCTAGTTGAACATGTTTTCCTGGCTTCCTCCTTTTTAATTAGCTGTGCTACAATTATGATAGAGCACTTTGGTATAGGCTAAATCAGCAGATGTTAAGAACACATTCTAAAACACTATTTATGAGTTAGCTGTATTTCTTCAATAACCAAGGTTAAGGAGAAGGGACAATTAGTTCCCTGAGACTCAGAACACAAAATTCAGCCCTTTTCTCAAGAGCTATTATTACAAAGAGTATAATAGGTTTTTAGGACAGTGGAACTGTGGTTCTCAAAGGTAAGTGAGAGTAATAAATTCACACATAATTTCCCACATTATTTAGTGGATTTACATTCTGAAATATGGCAGATGTGAAAGCTCTTTTGTACCCTAGGGCTTTGTATTCATAAGACCAGCCCCTAGAAGGGCCCTATTGATGTTGGAATCTATCTGAAGATTGAAAACCTCTCAAGGTCTGGTCTGGAAAATAATCTTTGGCTTATGGCTTGAATTGGCTCTGAATCTGTCCTGGCGTTCTGTGGTCCTTAGGGTTAGGCCTTGTCAAGAATACCGAGTAGGTGAGGTTGTCTTATACTCTCAGCTTTTCCCAGTTCAGCTCTATATTCCTGGAGCAATTTAGTAGTCTAAGCAAAATCTTGACATTCAGAAATTTAGGGTGGCAGCATTGCTATTTTCTGAGATAGGCAACAGGGCGCAGGCTTGAGTGATTAGTGATGTCACAGCTGTTTCATGGCCCAGAAGCTGGGAGAGCTGTACAGTTGTGTAACCATTAAAGAAAGACACACACACTTGCTCATTCATAGCCACAGCTGTTATGAATGAACTGTTAATATAAAAGGACAAAAAGTAGGAAGCTTAGGGGCACCAATGCTTTGTTCTTAGAGTTCCTGTGTTTTCTTAACTGCTTACATCTGTGCGAAATTAAGATTAAGTACAATGGGCTCTGTTCACCTTGTTTTCAAAACTTCCTTTGCAGATTTTCCTTCTATGCCTTTGTTATTCACATCTCATTGTTGGACTGTGGCAGCGCATACAGTACATGCTTTTTTAATTCCATAGAAATAACTTTAGAACTGTGAAGCTCTGTGTTCTGTCAATATTGCAGATCCTCCAAGTAATGAGGCCGGATCTCTGAGTTTCCATTTAAAGTAAAATCTTGTCGATTGAGATGTGGTTTAGATAAGGGCCCTGTTAAAGGTATGCCTTGCCATGGTTGATTGTTGGTGTTGCATTGGTTCTGGCTAATTCATTCTTTGTAGAATTCATGGTGAGACTCTGCCCTGTTTATTTATGGACAATGTTTATTGTGCAGTTATTTTCTAGTTACTGTGTCCTGATTTGTATTGCTTGCAAGTGTCACTTTGTGTTATTTCTTTATTTAGGATGTTGAGGAAGTGTTTGCTGGAGACATCTGTGCATTATTTGGCATTGACTGTGCTAGTGGAGACACATTCACAAACAAAGACAATAGTGCTCTTTCTATGGTAAGTCATTTAATTTCAAAGCTATTTATCACTTGAGTTGCAGAAGTCTGTTTTTATGTAGTACATTTAAGACTTCAGAAAAACAACCACTGAAGTTTTCATCGAGTGCCACAGGCATCAAGTATAGATGGGCTGTGGCTCTTTAAATGTCAATTAGACAAGTGTTCTGTATAAACAAACTTATCTGGTTTTCCTTAGTAAAATCATTGCACGATCCTCCAAGGTTTAGCTTGGAGGGAAACTCTCCAGTAGATACACCTGGGCTGTGTAGCTCTGACTCCTCTGCCCTGAGATCTGCCTCCCCGTTTTGGGTGCCTCTCTAATAGCTGTCTCCATCATCAGGCTAGTCCCAACGGAGTGCTCTTTCCTTGTTAACTCAGCAGCCAGAGAGCAGACCCTCAATACCCTAGAGAACTGCTAGACCAGACTCTAACGTTTAGGCTAGACTTGGGGATAACAGAACAGAACGGAACCATGCTCTGAAGGCAAGATGCAGCTAGACATGCAGCCTGCCCTGTGGAACTCGCAGGTCCCTTTTCATCAGTCACCGACCTTGAAGGGAAGAGCATGCTCGGGCAGTTGCTACGTCGAATCCTCTTCATTCACTTCCCTTTTTTGCCCCTATAGGAGAGCAGGCTCTCCTACAGTGTAACCATTTGTTCATGAGGGTGGTCCCTCCCCTGAATTCAGTAAAGAAAGCATATGAGTACTTAGGGGATAGGTAATTTGCAGTGAAGGAATTTACAATGGGTCGTTTGTGTAAGAACTGGTCCAACCCTACCAGATGAACACTATAATAGCTCCTGTATCCGATGATGAACTCACAATTTTGTAATTTAGTTTTTGTGTATAAGATATTCTCTAATGTCTGTGGTTTAAGAAATGATTTAAGACACTATAAAAATAAATAAATCTATACAAGTTTTTGGGGATCTAGAAAAAGGGAAAGTTTTATAAGTATTATTGATAAGCCCTTCTCTAAATACCCATCACTGGCAATATGAAGGGACTGGAGGTGTGAAGCACTCAGGCTTTGAAGCAAATCGACCTTGGTTAGAGTCTCTCCTCTGCCCTATACTCCCTACTGGCCCTTGGCCAAATTATTTTATCTTCTTTCCAAGCCTTTAATGATTTTATTTGCAAAATGGGAAAAATAATATCTGCCTCTCAGAGTTGTGATTGATTAAGTGAGGTATCCTATGTATAAAAAACTCTAATGGCTTTTCTCTGTTTCTCTTATCAGTGATTATAGTATATTTTGATTAAATAAAGTAACTTATCAGAAGATAGCAACAGCAAATGTAGCCACCAACCCATAAGAATTCCACATCTCATCATTTGGATTCATTATAATGGTTATGTTGAACAAAGGGTCAGTAAAATTTAAGGGTCTTCAACAGTTAAGTTAATAAACAGAGTCTTTATTTTTGTTATTTTGAGAGGGAAGAGATCATATAAGTGGACACTGTTATTTATTTATTAATTAATATATTTATTTAGTGCAAAACAGACTCAAGATATATGTTGTCTGGCCTAAAGATGTTGCCCAGCGTTTGTCCTTTGTTCTGTTGTAAAGTAGAACATTAAAATTAATTCATCCCTGACCCATACGTTGCTATATTTGAATTCTTCTCTGTTTTTTTAAACAATATTTTAGGAGTCAATTCATGTTCCTGATCCTGTCATTTCAATAGCAATGAAGCCTTCTAACAAGGTAGGAGTTTGATTTAATGCTCATTATATTACAATAAAAACTTGAGCTCTTTTTTATCTGTCTACATAATGCACAGTATCTTGTGATAACCAGCAGTCTTATGGTCTCTATTTCCTCTTTTGGTATTGAGATCACCTTTCAAAATTTCCCAGTCTGTCGGTAGTAATTACTCCTCAGTACATTTGAAGAAATTGATAGTATTAAAAGTATTCATGAGACTGTGCTTTATAACTTTTTACTGTGTCATTGGCCCCAGAGTGGTAAGTGTGACTTGCTAGCTTCAGACTGTACAGGGATGGAAAAGGGGAAGCAGGGGCATTTGTCCCAAGTTGTAGGAAAACCTCACTGTGAAGTACTCTAGAATATCGCACAGATTAATTGCCTCATGAATTAGAATACACCTTCAGATTCAGGTAGTTATTAAGTAAATGTCTGATTATAACATAGAAAGCCTACAAGCTGTTTTTCTCACTTTCAAATATAACAGTTTTATGATTGGATTTGATGTCATTTAGCTTTGTACAAAGCCAAAATTGCTTGAAGAGGTTCTGTGTTCATATTGCTTGCCACTGGAAATAGTCCTCATCTTGAACCATAATTTGTTTATTTCTTAAGTTGCCTGGACATTCATAACAATCATATTCATATGGTATATTGAAATGAACTCATTCATGCATTGAGTGAACGTTCTCTGACCTCTTGTCGTCTGGGAACTGTCAGTTAAGAACATATTCTGATTTATTGTCTTGTGGATACATTAACAGCTACTACTTCATCTATTTTGAGGAATTTGAGATTTTCCAGACATTTCTCATTATAGAAAAGAGAATGTTGAGGTGACAAGAAACGTTGAATGACTCCATCTCAGAAATTTGAGGAAAGATGAACCTTACACCTTACCACACAGATGCCACAGTTTGTTCCAAGTGCTTTGCTAAATTGTTTGCTTGTCCCTTCAGAATATGCAGGGCTAGAAGTTAAAGATAGTGTTTCTTCATTCCTAAATGCAAAGTTTAAGTAAGACATTTAACTGTGGATAGTTCACAATAATGGAGGGAAATCAAATGCAATATCCAGAAGATTTTTTGATGTCTCAGGATTGTCTGCTTGCTGGAGTAAATGAATTTAAATCAAATAATGAAGTCATTGCATAAAGCTGTGAATCTCAGTAGTGGAGGGAGGGAGTTCCTGGCTAGCCAGGGAAAAGGGAAAAGACTTTGGAGAGAGACTAACCCAGGATTCAATCCCAACTTTGCCACACACTAGCAGTGTGGCCTTGAGCAAGTCATTTGACTTCTCTGTACCTAGTTTCCTTACCTGCAAATTTGGATAATTCTATCTTGCAGTATTATTGTTAGAGTCTGAGATAACGTGTACAAAACACATAGCACAGCTCCAGCCACAGGTGATAGCTGTTAATACTGATGATTCAGGGTGTGTTAGTTTCCTATTGCTACTATAAGAAATTACCACAAACTAAGTGGTTTCAAACAGCACAAATGTATTATTTTACAATTGTGTAGGTCAGAAATCGGACACAGTTCTTAATGGGCTAAGATCAAGATACTGGCAGAGCTATGTTCCTTTCTGGAGGCTCTAGAGGACTATTTCCTTACTTAGATTGTTGGCAGAGTTCAGCTCCTTGTGGTTGTAGGACTGGGGTCCCCTTTTCCTTGCTGATTGTCACCTGAGGGCCATTCCCAGCTTCTAGAGGCTGCTCACCTTCCCAAGCTTGTCGCCCCCTTCCTCTTTAATGCCAGCAACAGCAAAATGAGTCCCTCTCATGCTTCAGATGTCTCCTGCCTCTTCTTCCCTCTTTGCATCTCTCCGACCTACCCTTCTGCATTCTTCTTCCAATTTTTAAAAATGGCCCATGTGATTACATTAGGCCCACCCAGATTATTCATGACAATCTCCCCATCTTAAAGTCTGTAACCTCGATCAAATCTGCAGAGTCCCTTTGCCATGTAAGGTAATATTCAGAGGTTTAGGGGGATATGGGCATATTCTTAGAGGGCCATTATTCTGCTTACCCTGTAGGGAATTACATGTGAGGAGAATACAGGTGCATCACACCACATCCAAGCAGATTGCTTTGAAAAGGAGAAGTCTCGGGGGGGGCATTTGCCTTACAGTTGGTCTTACCTGTCCTCTTGAATCTACAATAGCATCTGGGTAAACATGCTGATTCCTTCAATTATATATAGGATTTCTGAAATATAACACAGTAACACAGATGCTACTTTCTGCTTTATGGGCAATTTTCCACAGATGGACAGTTTTTGTCAATATAATAGGAAAGGGCATAGAGTTAAGTCTTGGACTCTTGGTTTGTATCTTGATATGGAAAGACAATTCTATCAGCTATTCCCTGCTCTCTTGGCTGTGTGGTATCCACGCTCACATATTAAAAATGTGTGGCCTAGGAACTAGATGGTGGATCATTTTTAATTCTTAACTGCTTATGTATTTGATTTCATTCAGTAAAGTTTGTTCAGCAGTCTCATTGCTTATCAATGCTTATTAAAATGTGTAATGACTTTCTTTTTTTAAAGAATGATCTGGAAAAATTTTCAAAAGGTATTGGCAGGTTTACAAGAGAAGATCCCACATTTAAAGTCCACTTTGACACGGAAAGCAAAGAGACAATTGTATCTGGAATGGGAGAATTACACCTGGAAATCTATGCTCAGGTAATGAATAACAAGGAAGTTAATTTACACTCTGTTTATGTCTGTGTTTTGTTAAGAGTAAGTCAGTAATTCTCAGTCTAATGACCATAAACTAATATTGGTTCTCCAACCTTCACTCTGGTTTGTATTCAGATACAGTATACTGCTTCCTCTTCTATGTGTTACAAATTATTTTTGATCTCTAAATCTTTTTATTTGTAAAACATTGCAGGCTTCTAGAATCAAGGCTCAGGGGATTTGCAGGAATACCATCCATCCATCCCCAGGTCATGGTTAGCTGGGTCACTTATATCCTGGCCCCAGCCTCAGGGAGACAACCTGCTGAGAAAGTCAGCCCACCAGTACCCACTCTCCAGGCCACTTCTTGCCTGTTTTCTTCTCAAGTCAGTACTTGAAGATCATTATTATTATAGATAAAAGAGTGGCTAGATGGGGCCTGTACTTCCCTAGGAAAGGTCTTGTGTTTATATGAATGAAAACAAAAGATTTTTGTTTTCAACCAAAATAAAAATTCTGGTTGTGATTGTATCTTTGAAGTTGAGATAATAGAAAATTCTGACAACAGATTCATATGCTATTCCAGTGAATATGTAGTAAGATGGAATAAAAGTGAAGTTTCAGTGGATAGATTAATTGGAGGTAAGTGTAAATTAATCAGAATAAATTAAAATTCATTTATATAAAATCCATAAAAACAGTTTGTATTGTTTAATATCATGTATCTAATCCTTGTAAGATACTTACATGATTTAAGACATCAATTGCTTACCTGTTGTATTTAAATGAATGCTTCTAAAGTAGTTAAGATTCTTAGGATTTTTCTTCTTTCAGTTTATTTTTTTAATTTAAATATACCAAAACATTATCTTCCCTGCTCTTTTTAGAGGATGGAAAGAGAATATGGGTGTCCTTGTATCACAGGAAAACCAAAAGTTGCTTTCAGGGAGACCATTACTGCTCCTGTACCGTAAGTATGCAACACGAACACCCTGTGAGGCTGGAATTGAAGCTTTTTATTATGGGATATACATAGCACTGTTACTGTTAAAAGACACTTGTACATTGTGACACTTTATTATGGAAGCTGTATAGTACTGTAATCGAGACACTTACACTAAGTGATACATTGGGATTTGTTTGGCTCCTTAAGCTAGATATCAATGAAGACTGGAATACACATCATGAATAAGCTTGTTTACACTTCATCCAGAGTTAGGGTCTTCATTTATTCCAGTTGTGCTTCCTTTGGCAGACGGCTGTTATGTTTTACTTTAGTACCATATTGTGGGTGCCAGAGAACTTGCATTTGCCAGGGAATAATCTCCTGCAAGCAAGGAAACTAATACTATGATAAAATCCAGAAAACATTTAAGAAAACAGAGTTGGATTTATATTTTATTAGAGACAAAACAGTCCTAATAAAGAATAGCACAAAACACGTTAAACTGCTACCAGTATAATATACTCAACCTGGTGCCTATTTGCATTTACATGAATTCTGATTTAAAGTCAAAATTAATAAGGCATACTGTGAGTACAAAACAAGTCTCAATTTTCAAATAAAGATACATGATACTTCACCTGAGATGTAATGTCATGAAGTAGAATGGTATAGTCTAACTCAATGAAGTCATCATTTCTTTGCTATAATAAAAAATAAAAACCTGGTGTTTAAAACTTAATATCATTGGCAAAAATGATACTTTAATTTTAAAAATCAGTTTCATTAGTAGATGATTATAATACTTCCACTTCAGTAGAAATAAAAATTGAATGTCATAATTTATTTAGCCTGACAGAAAAGCTGTTCTCTTAGAAATAAGTTTTTTTTCAAACTACATTTTAAAATCATGATTTTTCATTTGTTACTCCAAAAGTCATTTACCCTTTCTGTTTTGGTTTCTCGGTTGTGGTAGCTACTTAAGAGCATTACAATCTATATTTTGTCATTTAAGATTCCTTAGTGTTTCCATTGTTCAGAAAAGCATCACCTAAGGGATAAACTAGTGAAATGAGTGTTTACATTAAAGGAAACCAATTTTATAATAGAAATTCTTTTAAAAAAAATGAAAATAGTAAAATGTAATGAATGTAGTTATCTGATTTTGTAATTAAAGCTTCGATCTCTGCTGCTTATTGCTTTGGGCATATAAAGTATTTATGCTACATCAGCTCCACAGAAATACTGCATCCATGTAGTTTAAAACCACGCTCATCAGAGGTTTGCTGTACTTACACAAGGCTCTTTAAGGCTTAGAATTGGTGTATTGAAACAAGCCCTAGACTCCCAGGGGTGGCACAAGCTCCTATGGCTTCTTAGGTTAACTGTGATTATAAATGTGGCCCCAGGGCCAAATAAAAGTATCCTATTCTCTCCTTATAGTATCTTGAAGTAATCCTTTCTTTGAATACATCAACAAAGAATGTCCTTTAAAGATAAGGTAAAAATCAGTAAGGTTCCTTACATGTTGGATCTTAATAGGTAAAGATATATAATATATATAGCCTGAAGCAGTGGTTAAACCTTTTTGTTGAGATTTTCAGTAATGCTTTAAAACTACAATTTGGTGAAGGGTTACAGGAGTTTTTCTTTCATGAAACTACTGGCACTGTCCTCTGCATATTTTACTATAAAAACATGGTTTGAAAATCATAATTATGATTATATAGGCTCTGTAACCTGGACCAGTTACTCAATTATTTGAGGCCTCAGTACCCCTATAGGAATCTTGTAACCAAGGTTGATGCCTACAAAAATGCATTAGAAAAAGGCTCTGTTTCTTAAAATGTTGTTTGTAATATTTATGCTGGGTATTTGGCCTCACACTCTGAGTATTGTAATTGGGCATCCTGCCCTCCAGTGCCCATAGGCATCTAGTAAGTGGGTGCAGAAGCCTGTGGAGTAAAGGTGCTCCAGCTGCCTGGCAATTTGTTACCAACAAGCTGAAACCAGTCGGCTGGAAAGTCCTTTTCTCTTAACAGAGCTGACTAGAACTGTTTGTTGTGGTTTGTTTACATTCTCTTTTTCTTGTTTTCCATTAGATACTAGTTGACGTATTATTTTCTTTTTAACCTCTTAATAAAGCTAAAATCAAAGATTTGATTTTTATCTCTTTAACGTCCAGAAAGAGGCAGTTCAGAATAGTCATATCAGACTTAAGAAAACCAAGGCTAGCAACAAGTAACATATGAGGTTGTAAATTATGACTAAATGGATTATAAAAGAAAATCATATACAGCAAGCTTCACAAATCCTGAGATGCCAATAGTTTTGTTCCCTGGGGCTGATCCCTGGGGAAAAATTGCCAGCCATGTCTCAGACTACTTCTGGCACCACCTTTTCAGTAGAGGAAACAAGCAGAGGCAAGTGTCACTCTTGTATGGCTATAGCAATTTGAAGAAATTTAGGTTGCCAAGGGGAATAATCTATATTAAGCTGAGCACAAAAACTGAATGCAGAATTATTTATAACTCACAACTTCACTTTCTTGAACCTGCAGCTTCACCTTCTCCAGCCTTTGCTATCACTGACTCCTTCACATTACTGGGCTCACTATTTTAAATACAAAATGACTAAAGGGGCATTATTTATCCAATCATGAATTATAACACTTTCAGTAAATATTAACCCTGTCAGTAGTATATTTTATAGAAATTACTTACCACTTGCTTGACAGTTTGAATTTTTACCATTTTATACCATGTGTTTTCAGTAGAATTCTGCCATATTATATAACCACCGGCAACCCAGGCTAAATGTCGAACCGGCTTCATTTCTGGAGATACGTTTCCAAAACTGTCTAGTGAGGGAAACATTTATATAATAAATGGAATTATTTTATATATAAAGTATTAACCTTTTAAAAAATCTAAATTCTAAGTCTTGTCTTAGTTTCCTTCATACATGTGCAGAAAATAATTAAGCCATGGATCTATAAAGTTTCCAAGGCCTTTTTTTGTTGAATTAGATTGGTAATGAATGTTTTTGCAAAAGCCAGTATATTTCCAACATAGTGTTAACATAAATTTTGAGCATAGATAATTGATACTGATCTTAAAATTGAAAAGATATATTTTTCCATGCCATATTTATATACCTGGAATATTTTGTGCTTCTAGTGGTTCCTTCATGGACTTGAGTCTTTGATAAAATGTGTTATCCTCTTCATCTGGGTTCTTTCCAATTTCTCCTTCAAATGTGAAGTTGACTTCTGGTGCAGTATGTTGTCCCATTGGAGGGTAAAGTACTTCTGCTGTGCAGTTCACTGTAACTTGCTGTTTGAAACATTTGGCAAATGATCTTTACATGTAGATGGCCATTGATTACTAATTATTGTGCTCTGAGATATAACATTTAAGGCGTTGGCCCCCTAATGGTGTTCTTTCAGACCTGACTTCAGAGTAATATTCCAGCGGTATCCAATGGGGATGGCCTAGTAATTTTCTTAGAGGTATCTAAAATAGATAACTTATTTTATAACTTATAAGGTCTCATAATCCTATAAATTCATCTTAAAACTTTGAATATATTTCAGTATTAATGGGGTGTCCATTTGCAAGGCCAGATTTTAGTCTGACTTTATATACCAACTCCAGACTCTGATTACTTTTTAAGTCTTTCTGTTACTCTTCTCTGCTCCTGAAATAACAGAAATTTTCTCAAGCTCAAATATAGCAAACTGTACCCAGATGTAAAATGAGAAGACTGTAGCATTGGTTCTGCTTGGTAAAGATGGCTGTCTGGCAGCTCAAATGCCTTTTAATGAATCTCCTTATGTTAGCCTGTATCTCTTCTGAATTATGCCCAACAAAAGGGCAAGCCATTTTTAATTTCAAGATGGTTATGGTACAAATTGCAGTTCCTTTTAAGTTTGTCTCGTTAATAATTTGATAGGTGTGTCATTTTAAAAAATTTCCCTGCCCCATTACTGCTCTGAACACGGTGCTATCAGTTGGCCATTCTATTGCTCATAAATATCTAAAAGCATTTGCTTTCTTTAAATAAAAGAAAATCAAAAACAGAATGAGAAAGGCCGACATAAAAATGTGATGATGATTGGAGAGTAAATTATTTCACTTGTTCATATTAGGCATGAGTTCAGACTGCCCTAGGAGTATATAACATTTTTAAAGGGAATTTATTTGAACTGAAGTATATGAAGTCTGTTTTCTAAATAGCTCAATAGAAATACTTCATGTATCTCAGAATATACAAAAAGAGTAAAACTGACCCTTGTATGGTCATCATTTTTTTCAAGGCAGGGATTTCACAACAGCTTTAAAAGAAAAAAATTAATCCTATGATTTGATTAGCAAAGGTGCTCGGGAATATTTAGAATCAAATTTTATTTAATAATAAAGGATGTTTCACTTACTTTTTGGATAATTTCTTCCACAGAAAATTTAAGGTGATACTTATGTCCTCTTCCTGGAATATCCTAAAATTAAGAAAATGTGGTGAGTTATTATAACAATAACTCAATTCTTTGCATTGTTAGAAGAACCCATTCTCATTTGGTTGGGGGGCTTACTGGGAGGGGTAAATGATTAGAGTCTTAGGCTTTGAGAAATGCATGTCACCATGTCTGTAACATCTAATTTAGTAGGTTGTCTATCAGGTTTATTTTGGATGAGAACAAAAGGGTGGGATAAAAGCATATATAAGTAAAGTGAGTTACAATTAATTTTCACTCGTCAAAGGACTTCAACCTCTGGGTCTGTGATCCTGAATCTCTACATAAGAAAGCTTGAAACAACTTTGAATTCTAAAGATGACAAATAGGATACACCGTTGAAAAGATTTTTCATAAAGCCCTATGAAGCTGAATTCCATTTTGAGGCAGATTAGTACAAAGTGGTTAGAGATGTTTTTACTTGTATATTAGTGGACCTGCAAAATGATACTTTAACAAATTTTATAACAGTAAGACAAACATTTAGGTATTTCACTTTTCAATCAAGATACAATTGAGAGTTTATGCCTAATTGTTATCTGGTGCAGTTTTGAAATAACATCTGCTTCCTGTCAGCTCTTAAAGACTGTTAGCAGTTAAAGTTATGTCAGAAAAATAAGGGGCAATGTCAAATCCATTAGATTTTAGGAAAATGGAAACAAACTTAGTGATTGCTGAGGCCTTAAGCATTTAATTCAATCCTTTAGCCAGAGGGAGCACATCATTTATGGCAGTCAGTGGCAGGAGTGTTTTGGTGGGTAAAGCGAAGCTTCAGTCCACAATGCTTTTATTCTCGGACTTTGGTTGTCAGTCTCTCACTGTTTCCCCCTCCATTTTGGTCAAAGGATTGTTCTTAAAATTTAGGCAACGAAGAATGGTTTGTAAGACAGGAGTTTTTGTTGGTCCAGATTGGAGTAGTCAGTAGGAAACGTAGTAGCTAGCAGATCCTACAGGTTTCACTCGGGGAAAGGGGAGAACGCCGCCCCCAGTGAGAACATTCTCCCCTTTCCTCGTACTAGTGCCCGTGAAAACTGTCGATGCGTCTGCCTTCCCGTGAGACCACCGTGGCCGCGCTGTCCCCAGAGAGCGGCCCCCGCCCGCCGCCGACTCACCTCCATGCTGGCCTGTTGGACGGTCTGCACTAGAAACACCTTGTGCGGGGTCCCCTGCTGGTAGTTGATGCAGCTCTCCGCCACCGAGGCCGCCCTGGAGGCGGGGTAGTGGGTCGGCGGGATTTCCATTCTCGGTGAGCGGCGGGGCAGCGGGAGCCTAACGGGACGGTGCGCCGCCCGTGCAGCCGCTCCGGTGCCAGGGCGGGAAGGTCGGCGGTCAGCAGCGTGGCGCCGGCGGGGCGGGGCGGGGCTGGGCGGGCGGGCGGGGCCGGCCTTCCTCCTCCCCTCCCTCTTTAGGGTTCAGGACGCTGCGCCGGCGCCGGCTGCTCGACGGGCTGTCCTGGGGCCCCGCCCTGTCCCGCCCTCATTTACTGCCAGGTTTCTGCGAGCGGAGCCGTTCCTTTCAGGCGCGAGGGGTGCCGTGTGGGCAGGGGCTTCATCCTTCCTTTTAGTAACCTTCCTGGAAGTGCGGGGAGGGGCTTTCTGGCCTTGGCATTTATGGAGCGTTTCCTCTGGGGCCTCCGGTTTCCTCTCCCTGGAAGGAGTCTGGTTGCTTCACTTGCGGAGCGGAGCACGGCTTCCTTATACACCACCCCCGGTGTCAGGCACGGGGCAAAGTGCAGGGGAGCGCCAGGTCCTGCGGGATTCCCGTCCCTTCCTTTCCCTTCCCATCGTGAGAGTCCGGGAACAGGCTTGTTCATCCCCAAGTTTTGGTAGGGTTGGACAAGTTCTGCCCGAGTCTATGAGACTGCAAACTAGCATTAATTTGGAGGATTATGTAATTTGGATCAGGAGAGATTAAAAAAATGCATCTACACCCCTCTCGCTTTACTCATCTTAGAAAGATGAAGTTTTGGTATAACACCATGCTTCCACTTTTCTGAATCACTTAGAAATTTTTACTTCAAGGATTAATACATACTTAAAAACTTATACATGGGCCGGCCCCGTGGCTTAGCGGTTAAGTGCGCGCGCGCTCCGCTGCTGGCGGCCCGGGTTCAGATCCCGGGTGCCCACAGAGCACCGCTTCTCCGGCCATGCTGAGGCCGCGTCCCACATACAGCAACTAGAAGGATGTGCAGCTATGACATGCAACTATCTACTGGGACTTTGGGAGAAAAAATAAATAAATAAAATTATTAAAAAAAAAAAACTTATACAAAGTCCTACGTTGAGATAGCTTCTAACAAATCAGGAGTTTTTAAAGGTGCTTAAGCAGGCGCAGAGGTTTAGCAGGCAGTGCATTTCCACTCTCTAGATTTCTTAATTACTTTCTTGTGTCACCTTTAAAGGAACTATTTGCTCTAGATCAGGAAGATAAGGTTTCTTTTCATTAGATGTATGACCAAACTGCCCCTTTATTTAGCTTGTTGGCTTGGAAATAAAGATTCTTTGTTCTTTTTCTCAAAATGGATTTTTGAAGGTTCTCCGAGTAGACATATATGTTGTGGTGGTGCTTTTTTAAAAAAAAGTTAACAAAAATGTATTTGTAATGTGTTGTTCTCCTCAAATACCCTTTTCAATTTATTTGTAAATAAAGTTTTTCTGTGAAGTAAGTAGCTTTTTAAAAATAGTAAGCAGTAAGGCATTTCCCATCCTTTCTAGTTATATTAGCCAACAACTGAAGTAACTGGAGGATGAAAGGGTTAGTTTCTCTTCTGAAGGCTTTTTCTAAAACATTGAAGGTTTTTTCTGCAGGGGGAGGGGTGAGTCCTTCATCCATCAGCCAGCCTTTTGGGTTGTCATTGTATGTGTGTGCATGAATTGTTTGAATTATGTACTCCTTTGATAGTGTCCAGGAAAGAGTGGGTGAGTACCTTCTGGTGACGCAGAAAGAGCTTTTTGCTGATAATGAAATTTTAAAGTTTCCCAATTAGCTAGTTAACATCTCCTGTGTTATTACCAGTTAGAGTTGTGAGAAGTACAATATGAGCTTCCTGGATGAAGTCACCATTTTGAAGCTTTAGGAATACAATTACCATCTCTGTAGGTCAAGGCTAGAAACAAAGGTTGTGACCTATCAGGCATTTACTAAAAGGATACATACTAGTTTAGGTTCTTTTTAAAATATAATTATTACATTAAAAAAATGTAACTGCCTATTTAGATGTTAAATAAACAACATTTAGAGACTCTCATTCCTATATTTGAGTGCTTGAAATCTTAGGAAAGCTTCGAAAGCTTCACAAACGCTTACTCAAGAGATCATTATCCTTAAACTTGAATAACGTGTGGGTTACCCTGAAAGTAACAAAATTATTATGGGTCTCTGGCATCGGGTAAATTAAATTATTATAATTTTATGTAACTATATGAACATAGAACTAAGTAAAAATGCCGCTGGCTTGCAACTTCGGCACGACTATAAAGTCAAAATAAATCTACAAAATAGAGATAAACAATAAAACCATCACAGTTCTAATTAACATTAATTTTAATGTGAGTGATGATGTTTTGCCAAAACTAAATTGCCTTTCACAGCATGCGAGTGGTCTGACACAGGGGCACTGGTTCTTTTACTTTTCCGCTTGGCTATTAGCTGCCTACCACGTGGTATCCTCGTTCTCCCACCTCTTCTCTCTTGAAGCTACTGTAAAATCTATCTGCGTGCAATGCCCCCTAACGGCTTTTGAAGTGAACGCGTTATATGCAGGTTAAGTTAGTTTATATTCTTTTTATTAGCTTTCTAGAAAAATGTTTGATGAAGAGCATTGGTTTTGGTGCAGATCCTGGCTTTGCCACTTAATAGCTGTATCACATTTGGCAAGTCACTTAGCTTCTCTGACACTCAGGTTTCTCATCTGTAAAATGGTGATAAAAATAGTACCTACTTCTTGGGTTTGTGGTAAAGAACAAGTAAGACAATCCATAAAAAGTGTTTAGCACAAGCCTGGCACATAAGTGTTCTGTAATTTGGCATCCACTTGACTATAGATTCAGACATGCTCCCTGAAACTGAGTGGATGACTTGTTTGTGAGTTGGTCCTCCAGAGCAGTGCTGTCCAGTAGAACTTTGTGCAGTGTCCCTTACAGTAGCTACTCTCCACATTTGGCTGTTGACCACTTGAAATATCACTAGTGCAACTAAGGAACTGAATTTTTAAGTTTTGTTTAATTTAAATATCCATGGTTAGTGATTACCATATAGACAGCATTTCTCGAGTATGCTGTATAGATGTTATATTATTGTCAAATTGAAAACAAAACTTAAAATGTCTCAGAGAACTTGTGTGTCCCTGAGGATATGTCCCGTGGACCACAATTTTGGAATTCTGTCAGTATCCTGTGGGGATTTGGCAGTTGTTTCTCTTCTGCTTTCCTTCTCTCAGTTCTGATAGCTGTTTTTTCCCTCCTGGGAAAATTAACCCTCCAGCACTTGTTTTCCCAGCCCATCCTGAGGCTCTTGACCACTGGAAGATGATTGAAAGACAGTTCATCCGGCATATTCACACTTAGGCTCTTTCAAGTGCTCTTCAAATCTGCTTATTTCAAGCTGGCATCTCCTACCAAAATTGATATTTACTTTTTAAAAACCATTCACAGATTTGTATGCAGGATCACACACTCATTAATGTCTATTTACCTGCAGTTATCTGCAGACAGTTTGAAAGCAGCTGGCCTGTTCCATCTTACAGTCTTGAGGAAGGTTTCAGTTTCAAGGAAGAAATGCTTTGCAAACAGTAGATACTCGTGAAATGTTTTATCAATGAAATAGTAGCCTGTGTTTAAATATGTTTAATATGTATGTAAAATGCTTATTCTATCCTATTTATGTTGCCATTAGTGGTTTGATGTAAACACCTGTGCCTATGTAGCTGTCTGAATGACTGACTTAGTCATTCCATTTTGCCATTAATCATTTTCAGGTGCTCGTTATTCCACTTGAAGCTCCCTTGTCTTGAATTGCCTCAGTCTATAATGTCCAAGTAGTAAAATCAAATAGGCACTATCGGAATAAATGACCTGCAGAGCTCCTGTTTTCAGCTGACTCTCCTTGGTTGTAGAGATTTAAGGAGAGAACACTGTTGCAGGCAAGGGAGGCATTCCAGAAGAAATGGGCAAGCTCTTTAGAATGTAGGTCACCAGAACAGGAACCGTAGGCTGTTTATTTTAATTACTTAGCTTTCATTTTTCTACTTGTGAGATTCAGAATTGGCAGAATTAAAACCATGGATTACTTTGGTGGTGTACCACATCCTCACCTCCAAGTAAGAACAGAAAGGAGAGGATTCCTTTTTAAATAAATTGTACAGTAAGTTTGATAGCAGGGCTATCTTCAAAGGAAAAAGTAAAAATGATGAAATGTGGATTTTCATTTAAATTAGTAGGAGTTATTTCATTATGGTAACTGCATATTACTTTGTTGATTTTTTTTCTTCCTAAATCACTTTCAGGTTTGAGTTTACACATAAAAAACAGTCAGGTGGTGCGGGCCAGTTTGGAAGAGTGATGGGTGTTCTGGAGCCCCTGGACCCAGAGAACTACACTAAGTTGGAGTTTTCAGATGAAACATTCGGGGCAAATATTCCAAAGCAATTTGTGCCTGCTGTAGAAAAGGTAAAAAACAAAAAAACTTTCTTACATTTTTTTAAATCAAAAACAGTTTATAAGATGTCAAATCATATTTCTATCACATTGTCTTCCATGATTCATTTTAATTATGATCAGGCTTCTTTATCTGATTGTCAAGCTTTCCATCTGATTTAGACTCTTTAATTCATTCAGTTCAAGAGCTATAAATATATCCTATGACAGTGAGGGGAAATGATTCTGTTTCTTAACCAGAGTTGTTATATTTCTCTTGATAAATTGAAGCTACTTCATTGATTGTAATCAGCAATTAAAATTTGTAGTAGTTGTGAGGGGTTTATGAAAGTTTTAGGTGTACTATTGTTAATGGAGTGGTCATTTGTTAAGATTCCTGACTCTTGGGTGCTGCAATCCTCCCTGCTCCTGATTAATGTGCTCTTTGGTAAGTCATGGTGCTCAAAGCCAGTGTCTTCATTTGTAAACCAAGAATGAAATACTTAAACCTGAACCCATCACAAAATTGAGGATCAGGTAAGGTTCTGTGACATTTCTTTGGGAATTGTGAAGTGCTTTGTACATTTAAGGGGCTACCGTTTTGTTTGCTTTCTAGGTCACTGGTTTTAAGAATGTTGTAAATCTTTAGCAACTGTCTATTTTTTTTTTTTTCCCCCTGAGGAAGATCAGCCCTGAGCTAACATCCATGCTAATCCTCCTCTTTTTGCTGAGGAAGACCGGCTCTGAGCTAACATATATTGCCAGTCCTCCTCCTTTTTTTACCCCAAAGCCCCAGTAGATAGTTGTATGTCATAGTTGCACATCCTTCTAGTTGCTGTATGTGGGACGCGGCCTCAGCATGGGCGGAGAAGCGGTGCGTCTGTGCATGCCCGGGATCCGAACCCAGGCCGCCAGTAGCAGAGCGTGCGCACTTAACCACTAAGCCACGGGGCTGGCCCCTGTCTATTCTTATAGATTGAAGTTTTTAATGTTTTTCTTTAAGCTTTTAACTTAGAAATCTTTATTAACATTGTAATTTTGGTTTCAGTTGTGGTAGCATTTTTTGTGATTAGCATATTTCATTCATTATATTTTATTTGAAGACAGTATTTTGTCATTTACACACTTTTAAATTATCTTCTGCTCTCCAAAATTAGTGTAGGTAAAGGAGAGCTTGGCTGTTCAGCATGCAGAGTTTACAGTTTTGAAATCTCAGAAATATATTGTACTGTATGTGTAGCCATATGATTCTTTTTTTTTTGGTGAGGAAGATTCACCGTCAGCTAACATCCATTGCCAGTCTTCCTCTTTTTTGGCTTGAGGAAGACTAGCCTTGAGCTAACATCCATACCAGTCACCCTTGGTTTTTTGTATGTGGGATGCCTCCACAGCATGGCTGATGAGTGGAGTTGGTCCGAGCCTGGGATCCAAATCCGCGAACCTGGGCCCCCAAAGCAGAGTGCACGGAACTTCAACCACTCAGCCACGGGGCGGCCCCCATGTGATTGTCTTGCCAAGAAAGACTAACTTGAATTGTAGGAGCTCTACAAATATTTAAGTGACTGAATGAAAAAGAATTGCAAACTGATCAAATTATACTCTTTAAATATGTATAGTTTATTGTATATCAGTTATACTTCAATGAAGCTATTTTTTTAAAAAAAGAATTGCATTTGGACAAATGAAATTACCTTTTAATTCTAGTTCTTACTGACACTTGTGTAACACTAAAGCTGTAATGTAGTAATCTGCCAATGAGGCAGAGCAGTGATAGGTGTATAGCGGGAGCTTAAGACACAGCTGTTGAATAAACACCAATTTCGATGGAAGTTTTCTTGTAGGGAGTTCCTTAGACCTGCCTTTCCTCTGTTTCCTCCTTGTAAAATTAAGATCATGCTGTCTCTAGAAAGGTTATGAGAGTTAAGTCAGTCCTGAAGATGAGGTTATGAGAAAGTGATCGTTAGCATTCCCAGCATCACTTTCAGACCAGCTCACACTTTTAAGTAATATGCTTTTCCAAGGGATTGCTCATCTTGATGCCACATAGTAAAGCTGTTCAACTTTTTTAAACTTTTTTTTCGAGGAGTGAAGTATAGCATTCATAAAAATGTTAAACTTCTGAACACTAAAATGTGTGTGAGTTCTTGGTAATTCACCTGCAAGTGAAATCCACTCACTCCAGAAGTTGTGTTCATTCACTGACAGGGGTTTTTGGATGCCTGCGAGAAGGGCCCTCTTTCTGGTCACAAGCTCTCTGGGCTCCGGTTTGTCCTGCAAGATGGAGCGCATCACATGGTTGATTCCAATGAAATCTCTTTCATCCGCGCAGGGGAAGGTGCTCTTAAACAAGGTACTGTCTGTCCTGGTCCCTGCTGCATCACTCTGTATGTTTTCCCTGGTAGACCATCAGAGCCTCAGAAGGCGGCACTGTGTTTTAGTCCTCTTCCCGCAGAGCACTAGGGAGCACACCAGGGAACATAGAAGGTTCTGGGCAAATATTTATAGAATCACAGTGAGGATAGATTACTGTGTTCTCTCTCTTAAAAAATTAAAAACCTACCTTGTTCTCCTAAATTATGTGGTATTTTTCATATGTTTAAATTAATAGATTATCTGTAAGTTCGGTTTTTAATAGAGAAGATAGAAATGCTCAGAATTCTAAGAAATAGTTTAAAGAGACATTTACTACAGTCGTGCTATTTTTGGTGACTTATTCAGACGTCAGGAAATCAATAAATTTGTAATTTTTTCATGTATGACATTATAGGCTTTTAAGCATTTTGAGAATGTCAGAGTATTTTGAAAGAATTCAGTAAGCCTTGTTCACAGTGCAGGCTTCTTGCTAAACTGCTAAAATTGTCAACCTTTTTCACACAGAATAATACGTGTATTAAAACTCTGATGAACCAGAACCCTGAGCAATTGCAAATACGTCTGATTCATTGCTTTTAAGAGAGAAAAGCAAATGACAACACAGTAGTTTGACATGAGGCTTATCAACAAAGGAACTTCAAAGTTGTGTCCTGAAGCCAGAAAGTTCATTCTCTTTATCATCTCTTCCGTCTCTGTCATATGGTAATTCATTAGTAATGCCCAGAAGCCTCTCTACACAGGAGAATGATAAGATGATTCACAAACATTTCAGAAATACTTTCGTCAAAGCGGGTCAAAATGGACAGTGGAAAGTTAGGTAAATCATAATAATTTCCTAAGCATTCTGTAAATCAGGATTTTATTGATTCTTTGTGGGTTTTGGAGTTTCTGTTGTTTCTGGTCTGTTTGTGTCTGTGATGAGATGTGGGACAGTGGTTGGAGGGGGTTTCTCATTCCTTGACCAGGTTGCTAATTCCTTATTTTACTTATTTACCTTATTTAAACTAATGGGAGCCATTAGTAATTTGTATTTTAGTTTCTCGATTGTAAAAAGGAGAGAGACTACTCCATTTTCTTTATGTCAGCTGTCTATTAAAAAAGCATTTGAGGGGCTGGCCTGATGGCGTAGCGGTTAAGTTCGGGCACTCTACTTTGGGGGCCAGGGGTTCACGGGATTTCAAAGCATTTGAAATCTGTGCTCTAAAAATCTTGTCACAATCTGAAGATTGTGTTAATAGGAAAAAGGGAAATAAAAAATAAGACTTTATTAGGCATCATTCGGATTGAAACACCTGCCTCTTGCCCTCTAAGTATTTACCACTTTAATAAATCTAAACTGACAAGTTAGTTGTAATCACTTCATATTCTTTTTTTCAGCTTTATTGAGGTACAATTGAAAAATAAAATTGTAAGATATTTAAAGCATACAACATGATGATTTGATAAATGTATACATTGTGATACTTTTTTTAAAACTACAGTTATAACAAATTAGTAATCACCAATTGTTTTAGGCTGGTTCTTGACTGGAAATTGGTAGCTTTCCTGGAGATAAAGTTTATATAAACCGAGATAATTGGTATGGTTATCAATTAACAAAGAGTCTCGTTCTTTTTAATTGCTCTTATATGAAATATAAATAAATATAGATGTATATGCCCATAATATACACACACATATCCATGAAAAAAGTCTGTGTATCTGTGAATATTAACTAAACAGATGAATATGTACCATTTAGTTTTTAGTTATTTAAGCATACAAATATTGAGTAGGATTAGTTGCCTGGCAGGTGTGCAGAGGAAAAGCACTAGCTGATGACTGAATTGAGAAGTGTTGAGGTTTTTTTTGCCAGATGAACAGGTGCAAATAAGCAGGGTGGTAGCATGAAAAATGGATTACTTTGCTGTTTCTTCATCTGATTCTTATTTCTCCGTGGTTGAATGACAAAAGTATAAAGGAGTGAAAGGAAATTTTTGCCAAGCTCACTAAGAAAATGAACTTTCTGTGCATATACCTCCCTTGAATACCATATGAGAGTTTTAGGATGAAAATGTTGGTGAATGAGCTTAGTATCAGAATAGCTTATACTTATGAGCTATTTTCTGTTATCAAAATTGGAAGGAAAATAGTTCAAATTCTCATGTATTTTTTGTTAAAAAAATGAAAACTGAAACTATGTTCAGTCACAATTTAAACTTTGTCCCTGAGATTAATCAGTGATGTAACTAAAACTGAATTGTGAAATTTAATGTTCTTTCTGGGCATGTTTCACCTTATGGATGTGACTGTTGCCATCATTTTTTATGGCCAGTTTTTAGAAAGAGCACTATGCTTGGTCTCCTCCGAAACGTCGAACTTGTAGCCACTCTACTAAAGGCCTGCCCAGAGTCATGGTTAGCTCATTTAACTTGACAGCGTCGCGTTTGCGATCTTCTGCCCCATTGCATGATGGGTTTTGAGTTCAGTTGGCTCTGCTCCGTGCTGACTCTGTAGAAATGGGCAAGTCACTGGAACTTTCTCCAGGCTGCTGGGGAAAGTTGGACATAATGGATGCTAATCCCTCTTCCCTTCATATTACCTTTGACCTAAGACTGTGCCATGCCACACATTCCCTGGCTTTATGTGTCAGAGTGGTCGTAATAACATTTATTGATCACTTATGTGCTATGTATTATGCTGAGTACATGAAATATATCTTCACAGTGACCTTATAGTTGAGAAAAGTTGCGACTCAGAGCAGTTAATTGAATGGCCCGTGGATATGGCTAATTAGTGTTGGAGCTGAGAGTTAAGCCCATAGGAGAGCCCTAGCCGTTGACCACCTCGTCACACAGCCTCTTCAGCACCTGGCCTGGTGTGATCCACGTTATTCCTACTGGGCTTAAACAGAAACATTACCACGTCTACCCAGCACTTTAGGCTTAAAAGGTCCTATGATGATGTTGGTACTTGTACTTTTTGTCTTGAGAAGCTACAGACTACATGGATCTGCTTGAGGAAAAATTGCTTTTAGGACTTGGCTGAGTGTGACTGTTGAAAAACAGCAGGGGGAATTAGCTCTGGAGTTTTGTCATGGAATGGGGTTAGAGGAAGGCGTGAATAAGGGCAGAGTTCTTTGGAAGTGAGTCCGGAGGTGGATTTAAGAAGGAAGAGAGCAAGGTGAGGGAATATGAAACTGAGAACTGAACAGGCTGTCCCCAACAACTGAGTGACAGGCACTGTACACTTGGCCCCTTCCTTCCCTTTAAAATATGACCCTTTCACAATCTAGCTCTTATATTACTGACCTATTGAGCACACTAAATAATGTGTAACTAAATCTTAATATGTCTGCTCACATCTCTTTCTGGGTGCCTTTGTCCATATTAATTGCATTTGTTTAGAGCCAAGGAAGTTCTGCAGTTGTGATAACCCAAGAAGTTACAAGAAAGAAAGCTGTTTCTAGAGCGTAGAATTGTTAGTCTACTGCTTTAGATGTCTGTGTAGGGTTCTACAGGGCTTAGCTAGTGAAGCTTAGGAGTCTGAAAAGTTCAGTTATTCCTCTTTTGGGAACAAAATTCACTAATTAGGACTAATTAGTCACAGGTAGGTCTGAGCTAGGATATGATTTGAATTAGAAAATATTTCAGAGAAATGCAAATATATTAAATTGCTGTTCTTATAATTATTATGCTTAAGCTAATAGTGTCTTTAGAAGAAGTACTTTAAGAATATACAACAATAGTTGCTAATTAGTTTATTATAAACAATGTCTTTATTTTGTAGGTGAGGAAACTTGAGATGTGGACAGATGGTGTTTTTCCAAAAACATGTAACTTGTTAGAGGCAGAGCAGAAACTAGAAACTTTTAATTCTCTATCAGGTGTTGAAATCGTTCAACCTAGAAAAGGAAAGACTGGTCTCGGGCATGACCTGATTATCGTCTCCAACTACATGATTGTGCCCTCAACACCCCTCCTTCCCGTGGTAAAAAGTTGTTCTCTTACAGTTAAAAATAACTGTCTGCCAGGAACCAACAAGAAAGAATGAGTTTACCCTGGTCAAAGGCTTAACTGTTTGTGTCTTTTCTCCTAAAGGTTTTCAGAAGAGATAAGTAACCCTCAACTGGATAATTTAGATGGTAAAGGACTTGATCGAATGTTGTTTTAAGACTCCTTTCGTATTATTCTCTGCAGCTTAATGATTTTAAGGATAAAAATATGGTAATGGAAGTACTCGTACTAGAATTAAGTGTTGTCTTATTGAGATTTCCATTTAGAAGAGTAACTGTTACTGCTGCTAGAAAAATGAGCCAGATCGAACATTTTAACCTCATCATTTGTGTGTGTACCTTTGGGAGAGCATCATCCATCTCCCTTTTGGATATCTGGATAAAAAAGAGTTGCAGTTTGTTTAAAGATTAATAAATGAATTTATTATTATTTTTTAAACCCAGCTTTGGCAAATGCAACATTATATATTCTTGAACCTATTATGTCTGTGGAAGTTGTAGCCCCACATGAATTTCAGGGACCAGTGATTGCGGGCATTAACCGGCGCCATGGGGTAATCACAGGACAAGATGGAATTGAGGACTATTTTACATTGTATGCAGACGTAAGTACCGTTGTCACTGACAATCTTGCTTTTATTAACCACAGGAGAAAATCAGAGTTACCTTTTGTTTTTGGAGATTGTAGAGCAAGTTGACACATTTCCCTGCCTATTTGAGTGTTGAATTTGTGGCTCATATATGTGTGGCAGTTTCTATAATTTGCTGTTAGAACAACTCTGAAGTGCAAAAGGTAAAAATAAGATTCATTTCATGTAGGCCTTTTGTAAGTGTGTCATTTTCTTGTGTTTATAGTTACCTTTCTTTCTCATTATAGCTTTATTTGCATAACTGCTTTATTATGTTATCTCTAATTTATTGGAAATATTTAATCCCTTTGCCTGTACGTTGCTTGACTTAAATCTTGGGAGAAGAGGTTTATCACGTTACAGAAGGCCTACTAGAAGATACGACTATCAGCATATCATTGAGGTGTCCAAAGGAAAGTCATATTAACATTTTCACAGAAGAAACACTTCTGAATGCCTGAGCTGCAGCCAGAGTGGAGTGGGGTGAGGAGGGAAGGCTGTCCGTGCTGTCCACTCTGTGAAACTGAAAGATGACTGTCAAATGAAATTATTTTCAAATAGGGTTTCAACTTTCAGTAAAATAAAAATATTTCTCTTTGGCTTTTAATTCTTTTAAGCCAACTGTAGTTAATAGAAACCTGAGTCTAAAGGAACTGAGTGGCTAGAGCTTTTCTGTATTTTTCTCAAATATTTTTCCATGAGCAATGCTAAGATGTCGCTGTGCCTGTTTTCAGGTCCCTCTTAATGATATGTTTGGTTACTCCACTGAGCTTCGGTCATGCACAGAGGTGAGCAAGTGTTTCAGCTTTGCTTCAGTGCTCCTCAAGAGATCACCCAACAAAATGGTCAGATTTGTGAAATCTTTGCATGACTTTACTTGATAGTTGTAAAAAAAAAAAAAATCTCTTCTGTTTTTTTAATCTCCTAGGGAAAGGGAGAATACACGATGGAGTACTGCAGATATCAGCCGTGTTCACCGTCCACACAGGAAGACCTCATTAATAAGTATTTGCAAGCTACAGGTCAACTTCCTGTAAAAAAAGGAAAAGCCAAGAACTAACCTCACTTTAAGTTGACTAACTGAATCTGCAAGGTTTAAATACTTTAATCAATTCAAGCTGAAATAAGAAATTTTAGAAGCCCTTCCTGTTTTGTTCAGGAGCTTCTATTATATTCAAAGATAATTCTATGTATATCTCAACTCTGTTGATTGGTTTTATAGTTCATTGAAAAACCTCAAATAAGATATGATTATTACTGAAATATATTTAATATTTATCTAAGGGGGAAGAGACTAATTTCACTTATACTTCTGAGCTTAGAATGTGTGTAAACTTCCTTTCCATAATTTTTATCATAAGAATTTTCAGCGTATTTCAGCATATTTCAGAAGAGCTGAAAAAACAGTGTAAAGAACAGCCATGTGTCTTCCATCTAGACTCAACAATGAACAATCTTGTTAACAATTTGTCGGATAATAATTTGTTTTGTCATATTTGCTTTACCTGTTTGTTGTCCACCTATCTCTCATACCTCTCTATTTAAAAATTTTTTTAAATTATTGTTTTGCTGAACACTTGAAAGTGAATTACATAAATTCATGTATTTATGTAATCATGACATTTTACATTGTCATGACATTTCTTGGAGTGTCATCTTTTAATAAGCAGGCTTTTTTGTTTGAGTGGATTCCATATGTTCCTAATAGAGGATGTTCTTGAGATTCTTCATTGGGGTATTTAAATGCCTGCTAAATTTCTAGCTGTTTTATGTATAACTGATTGCTTCAGTTTGAGGCTTCTGCAAATTTATAACTGCCTGTTTTTAGGAGTATAAATGTTCCTTTCTTGTGGACCTGTGAAATGAAAAACAGACCCTTGCATATGGTGTTCTTGTCTATGTTCTTCCTAATGTTTCTGCAGCTCTAAAAAATAAGATATAATTTACAGAGTTGCTGACTAGTCAGTTTCATTCACCTAGTAAATGCTAGTTGAATTTGAGTCTGTTGGAATTTATCATATATTGTAGTCATTGAGATTGTGGAAAAAACAAATGTTAAGCTTTTCTTTCTAGAATAAGGTGGACTTTCCCAAGCGGTTTTTATTATATTGTTCAGAATTGCTTCATCCAAAAATCATCTGATGTGGTATAGACACATGCTAGTCCTTTCTCTTGTGGATAATAGAAATAAAATAACTTTTAAATTCCTTTGTTTTTCTTGATTTATAGATTTGGCTTTATAACTTAAGGTTTCTAGAAAAAAAAGATTTTTAAAAAGTATTGAGCACATGTTTTCAAGTCATTTGCTAAATACAGTTGTCTCTCATATCCATGGGGGATCGGTTCCAGGACCCCCTCTGATACCAAAATCTGAGGATGCTCAAGTCCCTTATAGAAAATGATGTACTATGTGCATATAACCTATGCACATCCACCCTATACTTTAAATCATCTCTAGATTACTGATAACATCTAATACAATGTAAACGCTACATAAATAGTTGTTATACTGTATTGTTCAGGGAATAATGACGAGGAAAAAAAAGTCTGTACAGGTTCAGTACAGACACAACCATGTAGGCCTTTCCATCCGTGGTTGGCTAGTCCACAGATGTGGAACCCACGGATGTGGAGGGCCGACTATACTTTAAATGTGTTATCTAATTTAATGTTCACAACCCTATGAAAGTAGGTAGTATATGTCCCTTTTGTAATAGAGTAGGCAAAAGCACAGAAAAGGTAAATAACTTGTCCAAGACCACACAGCTCATTAAGTTTTGAAATTGATAATTTATTCATCAAACCAAGTGCATTTTTTCCATGAATGTCTTGCTACAATAGCATCAAGCCCGAAAAATGTTGTTGCTTTGGCATTTCATCAGCATCTCATGCTATTTACAATGACTCTGAATATTGTTCCTGATGAGGAAATACCTTCATAGAATTTAGCACAGTTCCTCTGGCTATTCCAACAGTCAGAAATATTGGAACTAAGAGGGATAAATTTGGATGTGTCTTTAACTTGTTAAACATTCTAGCCATCCAGATATGGTGTCAGAAAAGAGGCTAGCTAGCTAATCCAACGCCAGCATCTCACAGGTGACAACACAGGCCCAGCTGGTGCGAGTAAGTAGAACAGGATCACAGAGGGACAGCTCCAGGAGCAGAGCCCAGTCTCCTGCTAACGCAGGAGTCTGCTTATAGTTGGTGAAGACCACGTACTAGCCAAAGTTTGGAGCAAGAAAAAAATTAATGAGAGTATTCATAAGTGAGGATTTTTTTAATACTACTGTTGTGAGGAATAATTGTTGGCTAATTTAAAGAAAGATGGTATTACTTGTGTTGGAGAACAGTACCAGCAGTAGGCAGTGTTGCCCTGATTCCCAACCCTGGCCATGTGTTAAAAATCAGCTAGGGCACTTTCTAAACAGAAACACCCAGGCCAGCCCCTAGATACTCTGATTTTTTAGATGGAGATCAAAAGTCGTCCATGTGATTCTACTATACAGGTGTGGGTAAAGACCACTGCAGCATTGCCTGCACCTCCAAGACAGGAAATGGAAGATTTTTTATATTATTGAAATAAATTATTGTTCTTATTAATTTTAATTATTACTTATTAATTATATTAATAATTATAAATTATTATTCATTTTTTATTCTTTTGTGTGATGTTAGAGTTTGGGCTGTTCTTAGTTTGATAGATTTACCTTTACAGAAATACAATCAATTTTCTGTTATTCCTTTCCTCCTTGCTCACTCTTAATTGCTTAGTCGTAAAATCACTAAAATTTAATTGTAAAGTTTTAGGATTTTTCATATTTTAATGTTTTTGAAATCTGCGTTAGTCTTAAAATTGATGCCAAGGAATCTAGGCAGCCACCAGGTAGGAGTAAATTGTGACATGTAAGAATGTATCCTCTTGCAGAAGGCCGCTGTTTGCATTACTAAAACTATAAACGGTTGAATTAGAACCTTAATTGCTGCTGCAGGTCTGCAGATAACGCTGGAACGCGTCATTGAAATAGTTTCGTGTTTCACAGACAATTTATTGTGAGCATTCATTCATTTATCCATTCAAATAAGTGCCAGGCAGCGTGTTAGGTGATTGTAGCACTGTGAAAGCTAGGAAGGGTCATAGAACAGGTCACAGAAGTTCTAAGCTGAGAGAAATTGGTATAATAAACTCGTGTGTTGTGAAGGACTGTCATTGAAGGGCAAATACAGAAACTTCCAACTGACTTTCAAAAGAACTTGTTTAACTTCTAACAACTCATAATTCAGGCAGGAAAAATGAAACTATGAGTAGAATCAAATGGAATGCAGACAAAATCCGGGTATTATTTTGTATGTTCTTAAAATTACAGAAGTTCTAAAGAGATTAGGAAAATGAATGTGATGGTGTATATAACTGTCATTGGCTTAGAGTGATTCAGAAGAATTTAAACTCAATGAAAACAGGGCTTAGGGAATTGAGAGTTGTTCATTTTATGTCAAGGCAGATGATGTAATTTTTCTTTGCTATTACCTAGCAAAATCAGTAAAATCAAGTCAGCAATTTTAGAGTTTGTGCTAGAAAAGATGTTCTAATGGTGTTATTGTTGAGAAATTTTTTCTATTTTTTAATTTTTTTTTTTTTTTTTTGTGAGGAGATCAGCCCTGTGCTAACATCC